CCCCAAAACCCCAAAACCCCAAAACCCCAAAACCCCAAAACCCCATGGTTTTAACCATAATTTTAAGTAAGAAAATGAACGAATTGTTTGACGAAGACTACAGTGATATAGAGCAAGATGTTGAAGATGTACTCGACCTAGACGCTGATGAAGACCCTATCTATAATGCCAGAACCCTTCAGTATCATGAAAGTCATGGAACTTTAGTCAAACCTGAAAAGAGAAGATCTCAACCCTATTTGACCAAGTATGAGAAGACCAGGATCATTGGCAGTCGTGCTGAGCAAATTGGCAGAGATGGACCTTTCATGATGGAACATAATGAAGGTCTCAACGCGTTAGAAATGGCTGAGGTTGAGCTATACTTCAGTAAGTTGACTTTTATTTTCAGGCTTACTGATTTTTATAGGAAAAGTACCATTCGTAGTCAAGAGGAAAATGCCAAACCAGAGAATCGAACTTTGGAGAATTGAAGAGCTCTCATTTGATAGGATTGAGTTTGACATGGATGTAATCAAAAGAGGAACTCCTAAGCCTAAACCTGAAAAAGAGTCAGAATCCTCTGAACTCAAAGACCAGATTCTTGAGGAGGTGAAAGAAGATAGAAAGTTAAAGTCAAACAGAGCTACCTTGCAGCAAGCTTATAAGTCAATCTTCTCAAAAAATAGAGAACAGAAAGTAAATGTTGACGAGCTTGACATCATAAACAAAAACCTGGTTCCCATCAATTCCATAACAAAAAAGAGAATTGTGAAGAAGGAGGAGTTTGGCTCATCCTCTAGCACTATCAAGCATGAAGATCAAGTCATTGAGGAATCAAAAGACCCCGATATCGGAAGCCCTCAGAAAGTACACAAGAGAAGCAAGAAGTCTGATATGTGCATACCTCCGGAAACTACTGAAGAAACAAGAGATAGAGAAGAGGTAAACGATTCTTCTGATAACTTAATTTCTGACTAATTTTTAGAGATTGAAAAAGAAATTGATGCTACTATCTAATGAGGAAGATGCTGAGATGGAAGAAATCAAGACTACTGAACCTCTTAGAGAAAGAAGCCCTAACATTCCTGAAGGCCAAAGATCTTTTACTTCATCTACCCCTGATAAACAATCAAAACAAAAGAAATCAAAGGACTTATCAAAAACCTCAGTCGAAGTGATCCAAATTGATTCAGAAGAATCTTACCAGAACTCTACTTCAAGATCCCAAAATACAAAAACTCCCTTAAAACCGGTTCAGAGTTCATCAAACCGCTCCATCAGTCACAGCGATCTTCCACTCCTCGAAGGCGACATCGGAGCTGATGCTGAAGGAGAAGACGAAGGCGCTGAAGGTGAAGAAGCTGAAAGCGAAGGCGCTGAAGGCGAAGGCACTGAAGAAGAGGAAGAAGGAGGCTCTCCTGACGAGACTATGGAACTTGATAAAACTACCGAAGAGCAGAAGGAAAACTACGAAATCATCAGTAGCAGCGAGGAAGAACAGAGCAAACAGAAGGGTCACCCTTCTAGTGGACCTCCCAAGGAGGTTAAGAAGAGACTGAACAAAAGGTTTCTAGAAAGTAGTCTTGATAATGTTAGTGATGACGAGTTGTAGCAGAGTAAAAACTGTACTAAAATTTTACAGAACTTCAATTTTTGCTAGAGAATTGGGGTTTTGGGGTTTTGGGGTTTTGGGGTTTTGGGG